AACATTATCGTACCCGAAGACAGGATTTTCTCTAACATTATCGTACCCGAAGACAGGATTTCCTCTAACATTATCGTACCCGAAGACAGGATCTCCTCTAACATTATCGTACCCGAAGACAGGATTTCCTCTAACATTATCATACCTGAAGACAGGATTTACTCCGACATTATCATACCTGAAGACAGGATTTCCTCTACTTCCACGTATATTTTCGTAATAAATTTTTAAGGCAACTTCGTGTGTTAATTCTAATTCTGTTTAAACTATTTTAACTCAAAAATATTTCAGAATTGACATTTTTGTCATTTTTCTAATTCACGAAGATAAAAAAGTTAATTTTTTTATTTCTGCACAGCTTCAAAGAGTTATGCCTGTAATAAAAAACACACCCGTCACTGATTTAGAATTTTTCTGCACATCCGAAATAATAACTATTTTTGCTATGACACTATCACCCCTTGAGAATATATTATACACTTCTTGACTTTATAGCAAGGAACTTGATTGGCTTTAATAAGCGACAGTGGAACCGAGGAAACTTGATTCGGGTTGGACAGGTCCTCATCACGTCCTACAGAAACTTGGTGGTCAATTTACGACTGAGGTGGTCACGTGGTATGGGTAAGCGTGATGAACATGTTGATATGCTACTGATAAACCTCTCATAAACTGGCTGGACCAGAAATCAGAGAACAGTGGTGTTTCATGGTGAAACGTATGCTAAACATTGTGTGATCGCTATTTGTTTATCACATGGTTTGTTGACCCCAAGACTGACTATCCGAAATGTCATTACAATCCTAAATTTTTGAGCTATCCAGTGATTTTCTAGAATATATATATACTGTAAAAACAGCACGAATGTTTTGATTAAAAGTCTTGTTTGGTTGAAGTCTGTCAGTTATTATTTTGTGTGATTCCAAGAACACATGTTTATTGTATCTCCTCATATATGGTAGCACGTGGAGGTTACTATGAGGTTGACGCGCGAGCTGGATTATCTCTACTAAAACGCTATTAATGTACAAGACAGTATGTAGGTAGCACTGATATGTTATTACACTATAATTGTTACAGTGTCATTTTTGGGTGTTGTATGACACAACTGAATCAGCCACTCTGAAAACATAGCTGTAAAGCAACATATGAATGAACATAAAAGGTCTGACCTGAATGTTAAGACTGAGATATTGAGCAAATTGTGAATACTGACCTATATAGTGTAACGATATTTTCATTAATATTGGTAAAATAATATTTGGCAAGTAACTGCTTTTTATAGAAAAGGTAAGAGTAATGTGTAAGCTAACACTACGTTTGAGAAAAAAAATACGGTTGGACATTATTTTGGGTATCGGAAATAATCGAAATTATTTGTATAACTAAATCCTCATACAGTACCTTGTAATTTTTGTATACAATACTTAATGTGAACGTGGTGCACCTAGTGTTTTATTTAGTTATGATTGAATATTTTCAATTGTGTGGATTGAAATATTTTGTAAGCACAGTTTTAATGAATATTTTCCTAACATTGTTTCAGTCAAAATATAATGTGTCCCGTGCACCCGTCACGGTCCTGAAAGCTTCGTTAGATCTCGTTCTTGGTCATCCCTCAGATATGCCCCCACTGTGATTACCAATGACAACGGCTAACAGAGCCATCTGTATTCTGCCCACATTCTTTTCTCCACTGTGAAATTGTTATAAAAACAAAGCTCAGGTCTAGTCTGGAAGAAAAGAGGGGTTAAAGGGTTAAACTACAGGTACTAGTTCCTAGCTAAATAACTAAAACATACTAGCTACTGTACAGGTTCCAACCTCTAACTTATGACCATGAAAATCCATTAACACAGGCATTCCACTTCCACTAGATGTCATTCAGATATAAATTTAGTGCAGGCCAGGGGTGACTTCAAAGCAGCGTGTCATGGGTAGACACTCGCAGCCTGCACCACAGTCAAGATACATGTTATAAATGTAGCAATATCAATTGACCAGTAATAGTAGTTGTGGTCAGACTGTTACAATATCAATTGACCAGTAACAGTAGTTGTGGTCAGACTGTTACAATATCAATTGACCAGTAATAGTAGTTGTGGTTAGACTGTTACAATATCAATTGACCAGTAACAGTAGTTGTGGTCAGACTGTTACAATATCAATTTACCAGTAATAGTAGTTATGGTCAGACTGTTACAATATCCATTGACCAGTAACAGTAGTTATGGTCAGACTGTTACAATATCAATTAACCAGTAACAGTAGTTGTGGTCAGACTGTTACAATATCAATTGACCAGTAACAGTAGTTGTGGTCAGACTGTTACAATATTCAAACTAGATCAACTAGAATTCTTGTGACCACACTTTTTTCTATCCTGACTTTTTGTTGTGTGTTATCAAATCCTTGAACCGTTTTGGATTGCTCGTCTTCGACAGGAATAGTCAGAAGTTTAGAACACATTCCTTTCACTCGCTTGACTGTTGTGTGTTATCAAATCCTTGAACCGTTTTGGATTTCTCGTCTTTGACCGGAATAGTCAGAAGTTTAGAACACATTCCTTTCACTCGCTTGACTGTTGTGTGTTATCAAATCCTTAAACCGTTTTGGATTGCTCGGCTTTGACAGGAATAGTCAGAAGTTTAGAACACATTCCTTTCACTCCGTTGACTGTTGTGTGTTATCAAATCCTTGAACCGTTTTGGATTGCTCGTCTTCGACAGGAATAGTCAGAAGTTTAGAACACATTCCTTTCACTCGCTTGACTGTTGTGTGTTTTCAAATCCTTGAACCGTTTTGGATTGCTCGTCTACGACAGGAATAGTCAGAAGTTTAGAACACATTCCTTTCACTCACTTGACTCTCATATTCTTGAATGAAAGGCCACGTGCTGTTTGTGACACCACGAGTTATCAAAAACTCTGAATGAGGGTATGCTGCTGGTGGGATCATCCAACATACAGATTTGATTTGATGATTTTGATAGCTTTACCTCGAAGTCTACAGAATTAGTAGCTTCTCCCACAAAAACATCCATAGTATCATCAAATTGAAATCAGATAATAGAAACACTACCTACCCTTACTGCCATCCCAGGACAAAAACTTCCTGCTGCACAGTCTATGTGGCCAGTACATTACAATATCAATCAGAAATGGACATTTCTGTATATATAATACAAACAAATATCCTGTTTCCAATTCTGATACTTATGTACATCTTACTTCCCATGTTTTAATCCAGTTAAATTTCTTATCATTCTGTTTTGTACTTTAATGGTAAGATCCTTGCATAAAACCTTTAGCCCAAGTTCATCACTTTTGTACAAAAATGTAACAGGTTTTGACATTTAATATCAAGGGTTTATTATGTACGAGTTATTTTATTATCAAAAATAATTGTTTTCGTGTATTTTTAAAGGGTTAATTCTTTTATTTGTATAATTCCAAGAACATAAAAGTGAAAGCAAGGGAGAACACTATACAAACCACACTAAATCTACAATGTTCTACTCTCAAACGGTTTGATTTAAATATCATGCTTTTATAATTTATTTAGATTTGACGTGAAAAGTTTTCTTACTTTGTATTGTTGATTTTCAAAAGGGTATATTTTATCTTTTTAGTCTGACTTTTCAAACGTTTATTTTTATTTTCATGGTCTACTTTTAATGAAAAGTATTTTATTTTGCATTTTTGATTAAATGGTAAATTTATGTCATTGTATTATATTTATTCTTTTATTAAGCCATTTTGTTTTTGACTTGTAATATTGTTTGTCGTAAAGATGTTCCCTGTTATATTTGTATCTGTTGTTGTTTCATAGGAGCTAGTTACATTGGTTACATTTGACCAAGGTGCAAGATTATTTAATTGAATGTTAAATATTTTAATTAGGGATGGTCTTGGACAGGTTAGGGGGAGAGGAGAGTAAATATGTAGCATGCAGGTGACACACTAAGTATTGTCTACCCCCTTGAATTAATCTAACATTTTTAAAATGTGCACACATACAAGTAGACTATATTTAATAGTGATTTCAGTCTACTTCATATTCAACAATCAAAGTTTATGTTCTGTTTTATCTTTATATTTTCACACTTGAAGATGTAGTGGCAGTATGCTCATCTTCTGGTTAAGAAATGGTTTTCTTAATTTAATGACAGGACATTCCAGTATTCTAAGGTGGAATTCTTCCTGGGAATGGAGAATAATGCAGAGAATCTGGAAGTAAGCACAAATTTATGTTT